GTTGCTATTATTCTTACTCATTCCCATCTTCCTTTTCTTTTTCCTCAGCATCCTCTTCCTCTTCCTGATTCTATTGGTGTTCTTTATATTAGTGCTGTTGCTACTGGCAGTACTACAATTATTGCTACTGCATGCCATAGCAAACAATCATTTTTACATCTCTATTTGCATAGAATTTATTGAGATTTGGATTGATTGCTACTCACTGACTGGCATTTATCTTTATTTATATTATATTAGGCAATGTTCATTTTCTTAATCAGATCTTTGGCAAAATCTTATTATATTTGGAGACATCTGTTTGTCTAGCCTCATACTTATGCATTAAGATTTAGTTCTTTAGGGTGCTTACATTAGATGTAAATAATTGTTAGCATCTAAACTAAGGAAAAATTCTATTTAGGGATTTTAATTTAAGAATCAATTGTATGTGATGGGGAGGCAATATAATGGCCTATGTGTCCAAAATCTGATGCCTTCTTCTTTTAAGAAACACATTATAAATAGAGCAATAATTTTAGATCAAGAATAAAAAAGAAATTTTATAAAAGCATTATAAAAGGGAAAAAAAATAAAGTAATCTCTACTGAGAATATGCTGTATTAAGATTAGCCACACAACTTTCCTAAGAGGGTAAACAGAGTAATTGACATGTAATGTTTTCCATGCTTTCACTGTTTTGGATTGAGTAACAGTTTATGAAGAAAAATCAACTGAAGACAAATCAGAATCTTTGGGTGGCTTTACTTTCACTTAAATTAAATTAAATTACTGATTTCCTGGAAAATAGTTACAGGTTTAAAATTTAAATGATCAGAGTGCTTGGGTAACTCACTTGGTTAAGCATCTGCCTTGGGCTCAGATCATGATCCCAGGGTCCTGGGATGGCACTCTTGCTCAGCTCAATGAATCTGCTTCTCCCTCTCCCTCTGCATCTCATCTGCTTGTGCTCTCTCTCTCAAATAAATAAAATATTTTTAAAAATTAAATTGTCAACTTTATTGACTATAAGAATGAGAATAACAAAACCAGTGTATTTTTTTAGTTTGTTTTTGTTTATTGTTTTTTACTTTAAAATGGTAATATCTAGACTCCCATCTCTTTTCCCATAGTACCTAGGCTGCTCTCTAAGAAAATAAAGTCACCTCATTTCATTAAAAATTACATCACATTGCAATGGTATGATGGTTCTCGAACTCGTCCCTGTGTACTGAGGGTGAGGAAAATGGGAGAAAGAGGCAGACCATTCCAGATTAGTAGGTGGTAGTTTTAATAAGCAAGGGATCTTACATACAAACTTGGGTGGCTGCAAGACAAGTAGATCTCTGGACCCACTTGCCAAAATTTTAAAAGTTTCTATGGAGGCCTTAACTAGGTTTTGTCATGTATAATATCCAGATGGTTTCAATAACACATTGCTTTCTCAAGCCTGTGACCTTAAAAATGGCTTCCATTGAATAATGGAAGAGAATAATGAACAAAACATATATTCCAAAGAAAGGAGAGAGGTGAGGAGCCTCTAACTGCCCAAGTGTAACTCAGAGTCAACTGGTGGTTACCTCCTCTAATGTCCTCCTCCAACATGGAAAGAGAATCCAGACTCTTCATAATGACTTCAAAAAATTGTTCAAGTTCTGGTCAAAGTCTCTCAAATTTTATCTAATCCTACCCTTACCCACTCTCCCTAAATTTTGTCCTAGTTTTCCTTTGTTTCATGAGCACATATTTTCCTAAGGGATGTTACATATGGTGTGTCCTCCTTCTGGGAGGCCTCATTCTTCTTTCTGGATATTCTTCAGTTACCGCTCTCAATTTATGTCACCTTCCAAGAGATTCTCACTGTTTGACAAAGATACAATAGTACACATCAATTCCCATTTTTCTAAAATATTTTTTAAAAGATTTTATTTATATATTCATGAGAGACACAAAGACAGAGAGAGAGAGAAAGAGAGGTGAGACAGGCAGAGGAAAAGCAAACTCCATGCAGGGAGCCCAATGTGGGACTCCATCCCAGGGCTCCAGGATCACCCCTGGGCCAGAGGTGGCGCTAAACCACTGAGCCACCTGGGCTGCCCCATTTTTCTCTCTTATATATACCCTATTATCATTTAGAGCACTTACCATAACTAAGGAGGTTTTTTGTTTGTTGCTTTTTTTATTATTATTGTTATTATCCACACCTCACAAAGATGCTTCATGAATGCAAGGGCTATGTATGTTTAGTTTGTGCTGCATGCTAGATATTAACACAATGTCTTTATTATCCTATGTATTCAGTAAATACTTGTAGAAAGTATGATCAGATGCATTAATTTATGGATAATTTGAGGCAGGTTTCTAGCAATTAATCCATAATCTAACAGAAGTGCATTTTTTTTTAAATTCACAACTAGCCCTCAGAATCTTCTTGATCTTTCATAGATCTTATTTAAAAAGAATATTTGGAAAAAAAAAAGAATATTTGGGATTTTTACTAATCATGACATTTTACGATCTGCTAAATATGGTATGGTAAGCTAAAAAATCTAGGCTAAACAAAAATAGTATAAAATATAACTAATAGCACATCAAAAAATTAAGATAGGAAGATATATACATTAGAAATTAAAACAGTTGAATTTACAATAGAGATCTGTGGGAGAGCAAAGTGTCACTACATGCTATTAAGATTCACAAATTTGAGCATTGGCTAACTAGGAAAAAGTAGGTAATTTTCTAAATAGTAGAAAGTATAATAGTGATGAACAGGTATAAACTGGTTGCCTAACCTGAGTATGTCAGGGTGAGGTTTTTGCATCTTTTGTTTATTGCTTTTGCTTTGTTTTCTTTTACTCAAGAGCTCTGAGATGTTTTATGCACACTGAGAGATAAGGAAACATATCAAATAAGTGTCCTTTTTGACAAGAGATTAGAGACGTGTAATAAAGGAGTTATATTAGGAAGATAATCAGTTATATTGTTTATTGTGAAGCTTAAGCAGCATAGTTAAATAACCTAAGTGCAAAATCACTGTGTGCCTGGCAAATCACACACATCTCTGAACTGTAAAGCATATGTAGCCCCACAAATTGAGAAGGCAGAAAAATAAACTACCTGGGTTTTCACTAAAATAGCCTGAGGAAATAATGTCTGTGAAAAAGTTCAGAAATTGTGGTAAGACACCATCTTGGAATAAATCTTTAAATGTGAATCATAAGTTAGAGATGGAAACATAGATTTTTTCCATAATACTGAGTGACAATAATACTATAGATAGTAAAATAAAGGTGCATGAAATCCTTATTTTTGACTTAATGCAGGACACTTACTATGTGACAGAACAAAACCAGATCATATTTTCCATATGTTGTTTGAGGGAAATTTTCTGTAGTTAAGGGGATAAAGAAAACTTTTTAAGTAGAGACATTTGTATTAATTTCCTATTGTTGCTGTAACTTATTATCACAAATACAACACCTTAAAACACAAATTAAGTGCCATATACTTCTGGAGATCTGAAGTCTAAGAATGCAACCTACAGGGCTGCATTCCTTTGGAGGATCTATGAAAAACTCTGTTTCCTTGCCCTTTCAATTTCCAGATGTCACCCTACATTCCTTGTTTTGTGGTCCTTCTTCCATCTTCAAAACCAGAAATATACAATCTTTTCTACTGTGTCTTCTATTTCCACTCTTCTCTTACTCTTCTCTGATTCTTCTTCACTGTAAGTATCTTTGTGATAACATGGGAACCACCTGGATAATTCAGGACAATCTCATTTTAAAACCTTAACTTAATCATGTGTCCCTTTTACCATATAAGGTAACATATTCACATATTCCATGAATTATGATGTGAACATCTTTGAGAGACGATTATTCAGTGTACTATGTTACTTAAGGCTAATTCTGAAGGAAAACGAGCCAGTGACACAAAAATGGAAAAAGATCTTGTTCTGGTTTGGATTCCCTGGAAAGCACATCCAGGCACTGGAAGGCAGGTATTTCATTTGGGAGATGATACTAGAAAGTACAAGTAATAATAGAGAATTGACAAAGTAAGGAGAGACTAGCCAATAGTGTTCCAATGAAAAAGTTATCAGTGTGAGTAACTGGACTCAATCCTGCTGGGAATTCTTTGAGCAGCTCCTATCAGAATTGTATGGAATTGTATGGAATAGAGAGTTATGTCTGTCAACTCTTGTCTCTCATTGGTTGAGGAACATGAAATCCCTAGTATGATCCTGTACATGAGGGCTAAGTGAATCCCCAAAATTCTCAAGCAAGCCGTTAGACAGTAAAGCCAGAGGAAAGAAGCAAAAGTGCTTGATATGAGAGGTTGTAAGCTTTCTGTAGCTGCACTGTGAACTCAGGGGAGATTGACTAGATCTTTTTTTAAAACAACATCATCTGGTACAGATGACAACAACAAATTACAAGACACATCCAAAACATTCAAAAGACTTGCAATAAAATTCAGTATTTAAAACTACATTGTTGAGGGGCACTTGGGTGGCTCAGTTGGTTGAGCATCCAACTTCTGATCTCAGCCCAGGTCTCAATCTCAGGGTCGTGAGTTCAAGCACCTCATTGGGCTTCATGCTGTCTGTGGAGCCTACTTAAATAAAAAACAAATAAATAACTATGTTTTTCAAATAGAGAACAGTAAAGCATTATAATGCATTATATAGTTTGGAACAAACATACAATATGGCAAAAAAATAATTTATAAATGTAAGCAGAAGAGCAATGGGTTTGGTCTAAAAAGTAAGTTGAGTTGCAGACCTACACACTGGCAACAAAGTTTAGATCATTAAGAAAAGAAATATATGTTAAGAAAGAAAACAATATAACCCAATAAAAACATTAGGATTATACATGTTATAGCATATAATTTAATAAATAAAAATAATATTTTGATAATAGTATTATGGCATTCAATGGAACTGTAAGAAACTGAACATGTTATCTTTTGATAATTTTAAAGTATTATATAAATATCAATATCATGGAATCACCATGAGGGCTCAGGCTTCTACAATTGGTATTATAGCATTCAATGAAAATATAAGAAGCCTAAGCCCTCATGGTGTTTCCATGATATTGATATTTATATACTTTACAATTATTAAAAGATATCATATATTCATAGATTATATTGAAGAAACCTCCCCCCCCCCTTGTAAGTAGGGCCAGCCCTAATCCAGAGGCAGCCCATCCAGGCGTCTTCCTGAAATTTTAGCAACTAAAAGCATTCTGTTTACAATAAGAAAACCGTTCCCCCCCACACACACACCCTGATTGGAATGTCCCTGAATAGGTTCATGTTGACCCTCCCCGAAATCAGCCTGGATGCCATGTGACTCCCGCGGTTCTTTTGTCTTTAGGCAGTTTCTTTCCTTTTGCCTTTTAAAAGATCCCTGTAATTGCTAATCGGGGCTCTTTTCCTCCTCGGAGGCGGAGAGCCCGTTTGCGCAAACGTTCAATAAACCCTCTTGCTAATTGCATCTGCCTGTCTGGGGTCTGAGTCTCTGGGGCGTCCACCGGGCCATGTTGGCACCCGTGAGCCAGGGTCCAACATTTGGGGGCTCGTCCGGGATCTGAGACGCCCCAGACTCAATCCTAAGACCGGTAGGAGGTAAGACCGAGCTCGCTAAATGTCTATCTGTCTCGTCCGTTTGTCTGACTGGCCGGGTCTGTTTTGTGCCGGGTCTGTATTGTGCCTGCAGGACGCTGTACTCTGTATTCTGTATTTGGACCAGCGGGGGAGGCAGACGTGCCCGAGACCCCTGGTCCCCCTCCGGAGTCGGACTCCGGAGTGGTCTGGAAGAGGAACGGAGCCCCGGCACTCCCTCCTCTTCGGGGAGGGTCGTCGTTCGTACCGCTCCCATCTGAACCTGCCGCGCCAGTCCTGTCGTTCGTGTGCGTCTGTTCGTTCCGTGTTTTTCTTCCTTTCCTGTCCTCCTCCTCACCGCTCACCCCTTCTCTACACCCCTGGGGCAGACTGTAACCACCCCTTTAAGCCTCGCTCTAGATCACTGGAAGAAGTCGCCGGCCGGGCACACAATCTCTCGGTCGAAGTCAGAAGACTAAGATGGGTCACCTTCTGCTCCTCAGAGTGGCCGGCTTTCAACGTCGGGTGGCCCAGGAACGGAACTTTTAATATTGACATTATCTTGCAGGTGAAGGCCCTGGTCTTTCAGCCAGGACCCAATGGACACCTCGATCAGCCGACCTGGGATGACCGCCAACAGCTCCCGCAGACTCTCCTCACCACGGAGGAGAGACAGCGCGTCTACCTCGAAGCTCGGAAAAACGTCCCGGGGGCGGATGGGAGGCCGACCCGGCTGCCTAAGGAAATTGAGGATGTTTTCCCCTTGGTTCGCCCGACCTGGGACTACGACACTGTTGCTGGTAGGGAGCGGCTCCGTCTCTATCGCCAGGTACTCCTAGCGGGTCTCAAAGGGGCAGGGCGTCGCCCCACCAATTTGGCAAAGGTACGTGCTATAGTGCAGGGAAAAGATGAGACGCCGGCAGGTTTTCTGCAGAGGTTAATAGAAGGCTATACTGGCCACCGTAGTACAGGGCTCAGGGCAGAGTAAGTCAGGACAGAGTAGGGACCTGGGAGACAAAAGAGGACCACGGGTTGAACGAGACCAGTGTGCCTACTGCAAGGAAAAAGGACATTGGGTTAAAGATTGCCCAAGGAAGGGCCAAACGCAGGGACCTAAAAAGAAGCCCATTCCTGTTTTGTCCCTAGAAGATGAAGATTAGGGGTGTCAGGGCCAGGAACCCCCCCCGAGCCTCGGATAACCCTTAAAGTGGGGGGACAGCCGGTGACCTTCCTGGTCGATACGGGAGCTCAACATTCAGTTTTAACTGAGGCAAAAGGACCCTTGAGCTCTAAAACGTCTTGGGTTCAGGGGGCAACTGGAGGCAAGTTATATCGATGGACAACCGAACGGAAGGTCCACCTGAGCACTGGGCAAGTAACGCATTCCTTCTTACTGGTCCCAGACTGCCCTTACCCTCTCCTAGGCAGAGACCTTCTTTCAAAAGTAGGGGCCCAGATACATTTTCAGCAAAAAGGGGCCACTATTACTGGCGCGGGAGGGCAGCCCCTCCAGGTACTGACCTTGCGCCTAGAGGATGAACACCGGCTGCACGAGGACTCTCCACCGTCCGTGCAGCCCCTAGATTCTGAATGGCTCACTAACTACCCTCAGGCCTGGGTGGAAACGGCCGGAATGGGACTAGCTGTAAACCAGCCGCCCATAATTATAAACTTAAAACCCTCGGCCACCCCCATATCGATCCGGCAATATTCAATGAGCAAAGAGGCCAAAGAAGGCATTCGGCCCCATATACAGAGACTATTACAATTGGGCATTTTAATACCTTGCCAGTCGCCCTGGAATACTCCTCTATTACCCGTAAAAAAAAACCCGGCACAGGAGATTACCGGCCGGTACAAGATTTACGAGAGGTTAACTGGAGGACAGAGGACATACATCCCACGGTGCCGAATCCCTACAACTTGCTCAGCACCTTACCCCCAAGCCATGTCTGGTATACGGTGTTAGATCTAAAAGATGCATTCTTCTGCCTGAGGTTAAGCTCTCAAAGCCAGCCTATTTTTGCTTTTGAATGGAAAGATCCTGAGACGGGATTCTCAGGACAACTCACTTGGACAAGGCTGCCGCAGGGATTCAAAAACTCCCCCACTTTGTTCGATGAGGCCTTGCATCGGGATTTGGCAGATTTCCGAGTTGGCCATCCGGACCTCGTCCTCCTGCAGTACGTGGATGATTTGCTCCTGGCGGCTAGGACAGAACAGGATTGTGTAAAAGGTACGGGGGCCCTGCTTGAGAGACTGGGAGAACTGGGGTATAGGGCCTCCGCCAAAAAGGCCCAAATAGGCCAGAGACAAGTGACCTATCTGGGATATCTCCTGGAAGGAGGCCAGAGGTGGCTGACGGAGAGCCGCAAAAAGGCTGTAGCCCTGATCCCAGCACCCACTAATGCCAAAGGACTACGAGAGTTCCTCGGCAGTGCTGGGTTCTGCCGCCTCTGGATACCCGGGTTTGCGGAGATGGCGGCTCCCCTATATCCTCTCACGAAATCCAACACCCCTACCACTGGGGAAAGGAGCAGCAATTGGCTTTTGACAAAATAAAAAGGGCCTTATTGACCGCCCCTGCCCTGAGCCTCCCAGATGTAACCAAGCCTTTTACGCTATATGTTGATGAACATAATGGAATAGCCAAAGGGGTCCTAACTCAAAAACTGGGACCCTGGAAAAGGCCCGTGGCATACTTTCCAAAAAATTAGACAGCGTGGCTGCAGGATGGCCCCCATGTCTCCGAATAATAGCGGCTGTGGCAGTCCTGGTAAAAGACTCAGACAAGTTGACTTTCGGCCAACCCCTCACTGTGGTGGCCCCCCACGCCGTAGAGACAGTCATCCGCCAGCCCCCTGATCGATGGCTCTCAAACGCCCAGGTCACCCATTATCAGGCCATGTTACTGAATTCTGAGCGGATACAGTTTGGAACGGCTACATCTCTAAACCCGGCCACCTTGCTTCCAGAAACCGAGTCCCCCTCCCTAGTAATGCATGATTGCCACCAGATCCTAGCTGAAGTCCATGGCACCAGAGGGGACTTGACGGACCAGCCTTTGCCAGATGCTGAAGCAACCTGGTACACCGATGGGAGTAGCTTTCTACGAAATGGTGAGCGTAAAGCCGGGCAGCCGTGGTAGATGGGAAAGCTGTCATTTGGGCCAGTGCCTTAGAGCCTGGGACTTCAGCTCAAAGGGCAGAGCTTATAGCCCTAACTCAGGCCCTAAGAAAGGCTAAGGACAAAAAGGTCAACATTTATACTGACAGCAGATATGCTTTTGCAACTGCCCATGTTCATGGAGAAATATACCGTAGAAGGGGTCTCCTAACCTCAGCAGGTAAAAACATCAAAAACAGAGAAGAAATACAAGATCTTCTCCATTCCCTCTTTCTGCCGAGAAAACTGAGTATAATTCACTGTCCTGGGCATCAGCGAGGCAATGACCCAGTAGCAGAGGGGAACAGGATGGCCGATGAGACAGCACGGGCCGCTGCACTAGGCCCACAGGCCTCTCCCTACAAGTACCAGAGGCTGTCCGGACACCGGGGCAACTCTCTCTCGAGTACTCAGACAGCGACCTAGATATCGTCCAGCAAATAGGGGCAAAATATGACGAGCAAATGAAGGTCTGGAAACACCAAGGGAAGACGGTCCTGCCCCAGAAAAGGGCCAAAGAACTGGTGACTCACCTCCACCGATGGACTCACCTCGGACACAAAAAATTAAAAGCACTCCTCCGGAGAGAAGGTCAGACCTATTACATTCCCAAACTCCCCTCCCTGATCCAACAGGTAACCGACGCTTGTGTACCTTGTGCTAAGGTAAATACCAAACACCTCAAGATGCCTGAGGGAACCAGGATGAGGGGAGAAAGACCCGGAACTAATTGGGAAGTAGACTTCACCGAAATCAAGCCAGGTAAATATGGTAACAAGTACCTCCTAGTGTTTATAGATACCTTTTCAGGCTGGACAGAAGCTTTCCCCACCAAGCGAGAAACCGCCCAGGTGGTTGTCAAGAAAATCCTGGAAGAAATTTTCCCCCGGTTTGGACTGCCCAAGGTAATAGGGTCGGACAACGGCCCCGCCTTCGTCTCCCAGGTAAGTCAGTTGGTGGCCAGATTACTGGGGATAAATTGGAAATTACATTGTGCATACAGACCCCAGAGCTCAGGTCAGGTAGAAAGAATGAATAGAACAATTAAAGAGACCCTAACTAAATTGACATTGGAGACTGGCACTAGAGACTGGGTCCAACTCCTCCCTATGGTTCTGTTCCGAGTCCGGAACACTCCCACGCGCCATGGGCTAACTCCTTACGAGGTTCTCTGTGGAGGTCCCCCACCAGTAACGGACTTACTAGATTCTGCTATTGACCCTCTTGCTAACACTCCCGGTTTACAGGACAGGCTAAAGGCGCTCCAGATTATCCAGCACCAGATCTGGAAACCCCTTGCGGCTGTCTACCGCCCCGGAGACACAACCGGCCCACACCCGTTCCAGATCGGGGACTCCGTCTACGTCAGGAGACATCAGTCCAGGACGCTTGAGCCCCGCTGGAAGGGCCCATATACTGTCCTACTGACCACCCCAACCGCCTTAAAGGTAGACGGCATTGCTGCTTGGGTCCACGCCTCACACGTCCAGCGCGCCCCATCAACGAGCACCGCTGACGCCAGCCAGGACGGACCGGACGAGCCACTCCAATGGAAGCTCCACCGCACCCAAAACCCGCTCAAGATAAGACTTTCAAAAATTGTTCAATGACAGTTGTTATATTCCTACCTCTCCTAGCGCTCTTCACCTCCACCAAAGGTGACCCTCATGCCCTCAAAAGGTTAACCTGGCAGGTACTAACGTCTGGGGGTGACGAGGTCTGGTCTATAACTAAGACCGCCCCCGTGGGAACCTGGTGGCCTGACCTATATCCTGACCTATGCAAGCTAACCATAGGGGCCCCTAGCCCATGGGACCTAGAGGGATACTTCGACACCTCTAGAGCCCCTAACCAAGAAAGCCCTCCAGGGCGACTGGGATTAGACCCATGGGGAGGATGTGGCACGCCTGACAGAAGGGCCATGCTAAGCACTCTTCCCTTTTATGTCTGTCCCGGGCACCACAGAGATCGCAGGCTAAATCCCACCTGTGGAGGAGGGGAATATTTCTATTGTAAAAATTGGGGGTGCGAAACTACTGGGGATACAGAATGGAGGCCCTCCTCCTCCTGGGATTATATCACTGTCAAGGCTAACTATACTCACCCGACATGCAGCAAATGGAAAACCCTTAATTATGGGCCCTGCCAAGGGTGGTGTCATCCCCTACGGATATCCTTCACGGAGCCCGGAAAAAGGGCTACTTACTGGGCCAATGGATATACGTGGGGACTCAGGTTATACAAAGAAAGAACAGATGATGGTTTTATATTCAGAATTAAACTAAAAATAGAATCCCCAGACCCCGTGGCGATCGGGCCTAACGCGGTCCTCGGGGAACAAAGAGCTGCCCCGGCCCTAGCCGCAGGGAGCGCCGCACCCACTAACTTCGCGGTCACTCCAACCCCTCGGTCGTCACCCGAGACGGGACAACGACTGTTTAATCTTATCATAGGGGCATTCCTGGCCCTTAATCGAACCAGCCCCGATGTAACTAAATCCTGCTGGCTCTGCCTTGCTTCCCTCCCCCCTTATTATGAGGGAATTGCTACTTCAGGGACCTATAATAACATCACTAGCACTCAGGGATGCACACCCGACTCCCAACCACAACTCACCCTTACAGAAGTTACAGGACAGGGAACCTGCATAGGAACACCCCCCCCCCCGGGGCTACCAGAGACTCTGCAACACTACCACCCCGATTTTGGGGACTGATTCTTACCTGGAGCCCCAGCCGGGAACTTGGTGGGCATGCAACAAAGGCCTCCCCCCCTGTGTGTCGGCTAAGGTTCTAAATAGCTCAAACGACTTCTGTGTCATGGTGCAGATCATACCCAGGGTGTTCTATCACCCTGCTGAAACTCTAGAAAATCAGTATGATAAACATCCCACCCGTTTTCGGCGCGAACCTGTCTCCCTAACCTTAGCCGTTATGTTGGGACTAGGGGTCGCTGCTGGGGTGGGTCCTGGCGCAGCTGCTCTGATCCAGGGCTCACGACGTTCTATAGAACTCCAAACAGCTGTAGATGAGGATCCACGGACACTAGCGCAGTCCGTTTCTAAGCTAGAGCAGTCCCTCACCTCACTCTCAGAAGTAGCACTTCACAACAGGAGAGGCTTGGATTGACTAGTCCTGAAAGAGGGAGGACTGTGTGCGGCCCTGGGAGAGGAAGGCTGTTTCTATGCAGACCATTCTGGAGTCATCAGAGACTCCATGGCCAAACTCAGGGAAAGGTTAAATAAAAGACAAAGGGACCGGGAGGCCCAGCAGGGCTGGTTTGAAAGCTGGTTTAATCAGTCTCCCTGGTTGACCACCCTAATCTCTACCATTCTGGGCCCTCTAGTTGTCCTGCTCCTGCTGCTAACTTTCGGCCCCTGCGTCCTCAACCGGCTGCTCCAGTTCATCCGAGAAAGATTGTCTATTACCCAAGCTCTGGTATTAACTCAGCAATGTCGGGCCCTCCAAACTGAAGAAATAAATGTTCCCTAAGATTTTAAGGTTAAAATCAGCCCAAACAAGAGGAGGGAATGAAGAAACCTCCCCCCTTGTAAGTAGGGCCAGCCCTAACCCAGAGGCAGCCCATCCAGGCGCCTTCCTGAAATTTTAGCAACTAAAAGCATTCTGTTTACAATAAGAAAACCATTTCCCCCCCCCACACACACCCTGATTGGAATGTCCCTGAATTGGTTCATGTTGACCCTCCCCGAAATCAACCTGGATGCCATGCGACTCCCGCGGTTCTTTTGTCTTTAGGCAGTTTCTTTCCTTTTGCCTTTTAAAAGATCCCTGTAATTGCTAATCGGGGCTCTTCTCCTCCTCGGAGGCGGAGAGCCCGTTTGCCCAAACGTTCAATAAACCCTCTTGCTAATTGCATCTGCCTGTCTGGGGTCTGGGTCTCTGGGGCGTCCACCGGGCCACGTTGGCACCCGTGAGCCAGGGTCCAACAATATAAAGCTTATACATAACATAATATAAACGATGAATGTATTGAGTTGTCTCATGACCTAATCAAGGCACATACACATTTTTCTTTCCCACCATCCTTTTAAAATATAATCAGTATGGAGTGTTTCTTCCTTTTTAATGAGATAAAAATTTCTCAGATGCATAACTTATTTTAGTAGCCTTTTACATAAAAGATTGTGAGACTCTTTAGGTTGCAAACACAACTTCATTTTGGTCTTCAGCATCTCCATCATATTTAATCGTAAAACTTCTCCTTATCCACAAAATGAAATTTAAACTCAGAATTGTATCCATGTAACCTCAAAGGACAGGATCTGGCATCTTGCCCCTTCCATAATTAAGGATTTTAGCAATTCAAAAGCAATCATTATCATTCCTCCCTCTCTTTCTCAAGTCAACTCCTTCCTTCTCTCCCTCATTAGCTGTAGCTTAAGACCCTGCCAGGGTCAATATGGAAGGAGGCAGAGGGTTTAGAGGGTGTCTGATGAGTATCCCTTGCATATGCATACAGAAAACAAGCCAACTAACCCTACCTGAGAAGACAATTTAGGAAGTGCATCTCCATGTCTACCACAGCCTACCTACTTCATTGTTCTGCTCTCTTTCTTCAAATATGTTTGAAGAGCAGGTCCTAGAGAATTCCAGTTGTCCTTTTTTCCTTTCCTTCCTTTCTTAGAAAAGGAGAAATGACAGCTCTGTTTGCTCCAGTTATTCTTAAGGCTACAATTTATACAAATCATCTCACCAAAACTAAGATGATATTAAGTTAAAACAGGATCTCATGTTCACCATCTGGAAGCATGATGGATTTGTTAAAATGTTATGGAGACATTGTTTTAATAATACATTATTATCAAATATACAGTTGGTACTAATGGTGTTTATTGACAGATCCATCAAGCACATTTCTACCCTTTCAAACTCAATATATACAAATTTGAAACTAGCATTGCATTGTACATGAAAATAACAATGAATTTTGCCAAATCAAATGCATAAAGTAATAAATGTGGAGCACTTTTATAAAAATGCATTCTCACTGTGACGTATGTAAAAATTACATATTTCTGATTGTGCACTTTTGTCCTGGCATTACACTGCCTCAAATTATACATAAGATAAAATGGCCCAACAACTCTTATAACACCTTAAACAAACTTGTTAGTACTCCCTGCAAAGACAAACACAATTTATTGTAGATGTCTAAGCTTTCTTATTTTTCTGGCTACAGCAAAAAAGCTTGAAAAATGAATGTAAATTTGCTCATACTGGAAATGGATAGTATATAAAACAAGTGTGGCAACCCTTTGTTAACGTACCTCAAGGTTACCAAGAAATATTGAAAATGATAGGTCACAAGGTTTCACCCAGATAGAAAGGGAAATGGCCCAAAACAGATTTTAGTCCCATATGATTTCCCTCAGTCTCAACATTTGTTTCCTTCCTAGGGCAAAGATCAAATATGTTTTTACCAAAGGAAAGAAAATAACTTTCCTCAACTAATACTAACTATTCTCTCTCTCTCTCTCTCTCTCTCTCTCTCACCAGAAGCAAGATTTACTAAAAAAAAAAAAAAAAAAAAAAAAAAAAAAATGCTGTCCCATTATCTACCTGTACTTAGGCAGGCAGTTCTTAACCCTCACTGCACAATGAAATCTTTTGGAGTTCTAGTAAATTATACCAATTCTCAGTCTTCACTTCTCCCCCTTTAAGTTACTTTTTTGTCAGCAAAAGTAATATTTTTTTGTAAGACCACCAGGTGGTTCTAAGATATATTAGGGTTGAAAACTATTGCAATATCTAAGTAATCTGGAGAACACACACACATACACCCTATAATTTTTATCTCTTAATTATAAAGATTTATCAATCCAATGTACCTCAAATGCAAATTTTCACTTTATATAAGGAAAAGCCCAATCTCATATTCCTGATTAAAAGTTTAAATAGTGTTTAAATTGAGTATAACATAAAAGGGATAGGTTTTATGTGATATGGTTGCATATGATAAAAAATAATATTCTCTTTTATAAGCCCACGTTCAAGATATTCTAGAAGGAAGAACAAACTTTTTTCCACCCTATTGATCTATATAAATGAAAATTCTATTATGTTGTCTTAGTTGGTTCAGGCTGCTATAACAGAATACCCAAAACAGGATGGTTTAAATAAGAGAAATTTATTTCTACAGTCCTGGAGACTAGGAAATCCAAGATTAAGGCACCAACGCCAGATGCAGTGCCCTGTTTGCAATTAGCTAAGTTCTAGTTGTGTCTTCAACATGGCAGAGAACAAGAAAGAGGGAGAGCAAGCTCTCTGGTTTCCACTTATAAAGGCACTTATTTGTGAGGGCTCTACCCTCATGTCCTAATAATCTCCCAAAGACTCCATCTCCTAAATACAATCAGATTGTGGACTGGGATTTCAACATATGGATTTTGCATTAGACACAAACATTCAGTCCTTAATAGTTGGCTAAGAAAATTCTAAATTTTGAGAACAAAAAAGCCACTGCTTTCCTGTATATATATATATATATATATATATATATATATATATATATATATGTGTAGGAGAATCATATATCCATTCTTAAAATGTAATACTAAGCAATTCTTCAATTAAACACACATTTTTAGGGCAACCCAGGTGGCTCAGCAGTTTAGTGCCGTCTTCAGCCCAGGGTGTGATCCTGGATACCCCAGACCGAGTCCCATGTCAGGCTCCCTGCATGGAGCCTGCTTCTCCCTCTGCCCATGTCTGTTCCTCTTTCTCTCTCTCTCTCTCTTTCTGTGTCTCTAATGAATAAATAAATACAATCTTAAAAAAAAAAACACACATTTTTAAAGGACACTTGGGTGGCTCAGACTAAGGCATCCAACTTTTGATTTAGGCTGAGGTCATGACTTCAGGGTTGTGAAACTGAGCCCCGAGTCAGACTCTCGGCACAGTCAGATGCTTGGCACAGGACATGGAGCCTGCTTAATATTCTCTCTCTCTCTCTCTCTCTCTCTCTCTCTGCCACCCCTCCCCCATGTTCTCTCTCTAAAAACAACCAAGCAAACAAAAAACCCACAAAATTTTAATTAAAGAATTACTTGAGGGATGCCTGGG